CTGTAATTGGATACATTTTCCATAATTTCCTGAAGGCACTGGCATGAATCCGAGTTGTTTTTTAGCTAAGTGAGTCGACCATAAATCGATTTTTCTTAGAAACGCTTAATTTTATCTGTGGCTGTAATTATAATAATGTAAATTACTGTTCAAAATATTTAATTGCTCGAAAATATCAGCAAGGAAACCTAGTTTCAGAAGCCAAATAGGATCGGAAAATTGATTTTCATATGGGGTACTTCTCATCTTTCAAATACATTAAAAGCTCTGCTCTGATGAAATACTCTTTTTTAAGACGTTGCCCCTTGAAAGCCACCTTACTTCGGTGTGATAGAGAAGATTTTCAAATAAAGCACTAAATAAAACAAAAAAAGCTTTGAACGCAAGCGCTTCTCGATGTAAAAAAACAATGTCTCCATTTGGCATTAGGCATTATTTCTTGTAATTTTACGACAAGACAGATTTATGTCCTGTCATAGCTTTAGCGCATCTGTGCATATAGCAATACATTTACCCCCAGTCAATATCATACTTACTTGTACGTTTCACAAAAGTGTCGAGTAAACATTTTTAGTGGTATTGGTCTCCAATAACAAAATAAAATATCTTCTTGAATGCCATTATTTGTATCATATCTTACAAAGGTAATGAATTGGGCACATTAGATATATCTGTGGATTCGTCATTTGAAGAGAGCAGTACGTGCATTTATAAGATTTTCCACAACTTGCGCTTGAACTTGTGCTTGAAAAATAGAAACTCTATTTTTATTTAAGCAATAAAAAAATTTGCCAATGTTAATACTGGGGTTTCAAATTTTGTATTATATTTTTATTTTTATATATTTTAAAAATATATCTTATAAAAATTTATCTATATAAACAAAGACTTATTCCTACTTCCACACACACCTTTCTAAACCACCTAGGTAGGTTGTCCTCTGCATACAACCGGCCCGTCTTTCCTCGCCCCTGGTCTTTGGAGCCAGGTCTCGACTATTTCGCAATATGGAAGATTTACGTGTATTTACATTTAAGTGGTAGGTTAGCCCATTTGGCTTTATCACTACCGGTCAAAGCAATTGTTCGGCGATCTAATGATGGTTGTGTGTGCCGATTCTTGCTTTCCCTTTTTTGCACTAAGTGCAGTTGAGAGCGAGCAAGCATCGAATCCTTTCATCGTCGTCTAATACTCAGTCATTCGTCCAGTCATGTCCTTAATCTATCTTACTTGCTAATCTAATTTTTTTTATGCTTGTCATTCAAGAGCGTCGTGCGGCGTGCCTCCGACTCTCTCTGCATTCGTTTTTGTTTTATTTTGTTTTTTTTTGGTGGTTAGTACCCTTTTGTGTTAATTTTTCTATCTACGTCTATATATATATCATATCTGGAATCCGATTCATTAAATCTTCATCTGTACAAATAATTAAAGGTCTTACTTCATCAATAACTTGTTCTATTTCATATGACTCTAAAATTTTTTTTTCAGGTGTGCTCAATACATTTCCGCCATTGTTCCTCATTGACTTGGTTTAGTGCATCTTGCCAGAGTTGTAAAACGCTGGCTTCAGTCGGTGGTCTTACATGCATGTTTATCATAGTAGTTTTTAGTGATGCCCCACACCAATTCAATGGATTGTACTGGCAGTGATATGGTGGTAGTCTTAGGACCTCATGACCATATTTTAGTGCCATTTGGTCAACGACAAATTTTTTCTCAGTAATGTGTTCTTTGCACTTATTTAATAATTCAGCTTTTAAAACTAGATGTTTCGTGTTCTATATTTTTCTGCGACAGCCACTTTATTAAGTCTTTTTTTTCCAGCTGCTTGTGGAAACTTTTCCTCCCTCTGGTGTGATACGAAGCATTGTCTAAGACTATTAATGACGGATTTTCCAGATTTTTAAATAATTTTTCCTCAAACCAATGTTCAAAAATATCGGCGTCCATATTTCCGTGGTAATCATCAGTTTTTTTTGTCGATGAAAATATAAGACTAGCATTGGGTATGAACCGTCCGTATTTCCTGCATGCAATATAATATATCTTTTGCCATTACTCGCACTAGTACTCGAATAGCATTTGGTAGAATCATCTTGCCAGGATGATTTGGTATTATTTCCTTTAGCAAAATCCATATTTCATCAAGAAACACAAATTGTCTGGCAAATTATGGTTTTTTACGACGATTTTACGATTATTGTTTTTTTTATCTAAAACCCATAGCTTTTAATACTTTTGATTAAACTGGTCAAACCCATATCACAAAGTTCTCTGTCCTTTATTTTTGAATAAGTGTCTTTCTTGTAACATTTCTTTTGCTTTGTACATGTCATAAATGATATTTCTGATTGAGATTTTAATACCTTGTGGCAAGTCGAGGGTTTTCGAATGCAAACGAATACTTCTATTTTCCTTACTTAATTCCTCCTCACTCATTTTGCGAACTCTTTGTAAGGTCCGTTCCGAAATTCTACAAGCTGCACTTGTCCTTTTTTGAACTGCCAGTACTGATGTAATTGGTCGCATGTTGATTTTTTCTAAAGTAAAATAATTTTCCACTTTCAACACAATTCGATGCTCACTCGGAGATAAAAACTTATATTTAAATGTTCTATCGTTTTCTTGTACGTTATCCATTGTCACTATTGAAAACCGGCGATCGTTGAATACTAGCGAGATTTTTCGGAGCTCTCTGAATATATACAGGAGGGGGCGGGGCCTCGGTGGCAGGGCGCGTCGGTCATTGGCTGATGAGTCCGGTCAATGGAGAGCCTCGACTCCGCAGACTGTTTACTATTTTTGCAAATATAACAACTAAAATCATTCCGTTATGCGACCGCAAGGAATGGATGCACTCCTCGAGACAATTTTATTTGAAATAAAATTATAAAAGTTTTTTTAATAAATTATCATCACAAAGCATTCAATTTGCGTTTTTTCACGATTTATAAAAAATTGTTTTGGTAGCGCTGATTTATCTTGAAGTACTACAGCCGACCAGTAGGAGGTTCGGTACCACAAAGCAGGTAGAAAAGGGAAAGCATAACAGAGTGACTGTAACTAGAGTCATAAATTATTTTCGGGCGTTAATCCGAAATACGACAGGGTAAAAGGACTTCACTATACTTAGCTTAGGTTAGAGATGTGTCGGAGTCAGTCGATCAATACTCGACACAGACTGAGAACGGAAGCGATTAATCAATACTAGATCTTAGGTAAAAGAAGGACAGTGACCTTTGATCAATACTTAAAGACCCGAGTTAGGAGCTCTCACTAGATCAATATTCCGGATCGAAGCGATTCTTTAGCGTCGGTCATGGTTTTTTATATTCTTACTGGACTTTCATCTGCAGCGCTCATCGATGGTAGTGGTGCGGATAGTCCGTTAATGGGGTGCGGGCATGCAGAGAGATGGCCAGTCGGCGGAAAGCGCTGAAGATGTCATCATTACACAGTATAATATATTTCTAATTTTTTTTCTGAATCTCTCGTGTATCTGTTCCGTTTGTGACTCAGTCAACTCAATAGATTCTTAGGGTCTGCACGTACACCCACATGTCAATGGATTCTATTTTTTGTGTTTTTTATTGACGGTCTAACGTTCTAATTTGATAGAAGGAAAATCGATAATATTCGTCATACTTTTTTTTTCGTCTTTATAGAGAAGGGGGTCTGGAGACTTCATCAAAGACATCTCAGTCCAGGATGCTACCTGACTGATCTTAGTGCAGGATTCGTTCTTCGTACACTCGGCGATTGTTCCCGAGGTAATATAATATGCCCTCTCGTCGCTGAGTTTACGTTGAACGCCTACCTGCTAAACCAGACCCTCCTCTGTCATCCAACGACCCAAAAGCGGTCTTTCCCTTTCCAGTCTCCTCTCGGGAATAAAAAGGTTTAGGTCTCTTCTCTCATACAGCTCTTTTCTTTCCACTGCCAACATATACAGCGGAACACATCCAGTGATGGTCCACAAGGCTGCTGCAGATACAGTCCTGCAGGCGCATGCCACTCGCAATAGCCTTGTTCTACTCGGTACGACCTCTGTAGGCCGTTATCTCTACCACATCACTCTAGACTGGTGCCGCGTAGAGGACAATCGACTGCACAACACCGTGTGAGGCCCTGCTCTTTCGGATTTGCGTCCGCCAATGTTAGCCATCACCTTTTCACACGCAGCCGCACTATTTACAGCCTTTCGGACCACCTCCCGCACGTGCTTCCCCCATTTTCGATCCGCAACGTCACTTCCAGGTCCTTTACTTGTTTCTTAAGTGTTAGAAACGCCCCCGCACATTGTAGTTTCACACTTTACCTGTTCCTTTTCACTTTCAGAATGAAGGCTTTGCTTTTCTCTGTCGCGAATTTCAGTCCGTGCTGCGTCATCCATTTCTTTATGACGCCGACTGCGTTCTGAACCTGGTAATTGAGATCTGGCTCATCCCGCGCCACTACCAGCACAGCGAGGTCATCCACGAATGCGAAGGGGGACACATTCAGTTTTAATGTTTGCCGCCATATTTTTTGTTTATTTTCTGTTTTTCCGTTGCTACCCAAAGCATTAAAAGTGGTACTCTATCGTATGTCTTTGATAGATATATGTATAAATACTATTTGAGTTGAAAGGTTGTGGACTAATCATTTCTCAATAAATGCTTTAGAGAAAATATGTATGTAAATACGGATCTGTCTGCACGAAAGCTATTTTGTTTACGTATTTTTTTAACCATGTAGAAATAAATGAGCTTTCAAAAAATAATCGTTGATTGCATTAAACCCATATTGGTGACGTATTTAGCCAACATATATAGAAATTGATGCACATTCAAAAATTAAAATTGATGTGGTTTTAAGATTTTTTTTTTAATCTGAAATTAATTCTATTAAAATTCGAGACGAGTTTATTCATAATTGATTTTCATCATACAGAATATAGAAAAAAATTACTAAATGGTTATTTAAATCGCAAAATTATAAAATATGTATTTTAAATTTACCTGACGGATGACTGACTCTGTGATGCAGCATATCTGGAGGATCTGGCCAAACACCACTGTTCCTTAAAATCCTGTTTACAGAACTCACTGAAGGTATATTGTGTGGCTCGCAGATTCTTTGAGATATGAGTTGCTCTCGAATTTCCCAAGCGAACATTCCGGGATTTTCCTGCTTGAATCGTAGGATTTTCTTTACAACAGTTGGTGTTGCTACTTGCTGAAAAAAAGAGTTCGAGTTAAATATTGTTTAAAATTGTTGTCCAAAGTTTTGTTAAAAATTTGAAGCAATTGGATATACTAAAAGTTTTTATATATTAGCACGAAAATGTAGAACAATTATAATATATTAATATATTCTAATATATACCGTGTGTGCTAAAAAAGCGGGATGGTCGAATATTTTGCGAAATTCGAATCTGATCGAAAAATTGAAAAAGACTTGTTCAATATTTTTGAAAAATCTATCGAATGACAACAAAACACAACTCCCCAACTCCAATCCTCAGAGCAGGGAGGGAGCAACTTTAAAATCTTCTTAGAGAAGAAGAGAAGAGAAATTGAAATCTTAAAATTGAACTCCTACTTTTATTGCGGATTTAGATTCCAATAAAACAATTAGTAATTTTTATAACGGAAACAGGTAGGTCTAGTCATCAACGAAGACAAAACCAAGTACATGTTGGTTACAAAGATCCGATAGCAAATGAGGAACGAGAAACAGTCTTTGGAAGTCATACCTGTTGGACGTGTTGACAACTTCACATACCTTGGGTCGCTATTGACTGCTACCAATAAAACAAGCGAAGAAATCAAAAGACGAATAAATCTTACAAATAGGGCATAATATGGACTCCAAAAGCATTTCCACTCAAGAAACATTCAAAAAGAAGAACTAAAATTATTATATACAAAACATCTTCTGAGGGCCGTTCATCCTGCACATAATGAGCAGAAAACAATGACTTCTAACGCAGAAGATGAAAGACTTATTGGGATATTTGACACGTAATAATTACTCGCAAAATATTTGGAGCATGTAAACCACCAAGGGCTGTTGGCGCAGAAGAATTAATTTTGAATTGTTCAAGCTCTTTGATGAGCAGATGTCGATAACGTTCATTAAACACAGCGACTTAGATGGGCTGGACACATAATACAAATGCCAGAAAAATACCATTGCTAAAAAGCTAACCACAGGAACACCTGTATGAAAAGAAGCAAAGGCCGACCGCGAATTATGTGGTTAGATGGAGTAGAAACCGACTTACGAATATTATAAATCAGAAGATGGCTAACATGTTGTCAGAAACCGAAAGAAATGGCGATGATATCTTAGAGCAGGCCAAGATCCACAGAGGATTATCGAGCCAAAGATGATGATGATACAACCACCATCTTCTTTATTTCCGCCTTTTCTAATCTTGCCCTTATTTTAATCAAGTAATAATGTCACACGGTGAGATATTAGAGATGCCATATTTTTCCAAACTATCTTTTACACAGAGATATGTAATAACGTTTTCCTCTCTTATTCGGCCCGGTACGAACACTGCCACAACGCGGTTGTATGTAAATATAACGTCAAAAACACCGGAATAGACACTGTCCCGGAACGGATACGGCACGGATATGTCGGATATGTATAAATCGACCTTAAGGTTCCCTTAATCGGCCTTATACCTCAATAAATTTTTTGCTGCTTTGCGTATATTAGTTGCTTGACATGGACAAGGAGTAGCGGCTTCCGACGATCGACGATATTGCGGTCGGACGCAGACTATCCCACACCTACGCACCGTATGAATGGTCTCGTCCGTGCACGTCTGTGCTGGTGCGTCATATCCATCCAGAGTCGGTAACATCAAAGGTGTTAAGTCAGAAATGGTTCATTTGCTGACACGAGTAGTTGTCTGTAGTATTGTCTAAGTTGTTTTTTTTTATTTTAAGTTTTTTGCTAAAAAATGGAATGTACAAAGTTATTTTTAATTTTTTTAAACTCGTATCAAAATGAACCAAGTTTATGGAATTCTACGGCGCCAGAGCATAAAAACCGAAACGATATATACGATGCATGGAACAGAATAAACAACCAATTGAAGAATAGTACTATTTCGATTAAAGACTTAAAAAAGAAGAGAGAGAATTTAATGTCGACATACAAACGGCAAAAAACAAAAGTAGAGATCTGCACAGATCATCACGGACCGTAGGATGAGCTCCGTGGTGCGTTGCCGCCCGTGCTCATCAGCTGTCCGCGATGATCTGTAGAATCGCCGATCGTGAGAAAGCCGCTAGAAGAGGAATAGTTACAACATCGTGCCAATATCAGTTTATCAGAATCTAGATCTTTTATTATAAATCATAGATAAGCCTCTCTTAATTATTGTATGTTAATAAATATGGTTAAATTAATTTTCTTTTATATCTGAGAGTCCTATAGTTTATTTTTATGAACGAGAGAGTAATTAGCATAATTTTAACTGGTACCTCCGACCACTCCATGGGCGTGCTCAAGATTAATTGAAAAATTACTTTGAATAATTGTAAAAAATAAATGAATTATTTCAGTGTTATAAAGTGTTATGTGTATGTAAACAAAAGTGACCTCTTTTATCACACACTATATTAGAACTGACTGGCCTACATTAAAAAGGGTTTTAAAAAATTCACATTTTTTTTAATTTTTAAAAATTACAAAAGAGAAAAAGAGTTTTTAAAACCGTCTAAGGTATGTTAAATAGATGAATAAAAATATTAATATAAAACTTACAGCTACTTGTTACAAATCCAAATCAGATTCAGAAGATGAACTTTCAGAACCAAGATTTATAATAACTGGCTCGATCATTTTATCAGTAATATTGTCCAGCTTCCACATTTTTTCCTCTTCTTTAATAGTGTGATTTACTGCCTTTTCCCAGTTTTCAGGTTTTACATTATTTACGGCCTCCAAAAACAACTGTTTAACATCATGAATTTTAAAAGTGGTATTTTTTCTTGAAACTTCACTCTTTATCTGTGCCCATACCAGTTCAATCGGGTTTAATTCACAATGATATGGTGGGGATCTAAGTACTGTCATTCCACGATTTTTGGCAATTTCATCAATTTCGTATTTTTTAAATTTTTCTTATGAAGGGCACACAACGAATAAAGTTCCTTTCTTATAGATCCGGGATGGTACGTAATATTTTTTGAACTCAGCCAATTCTGCAAGTCTTTTTTTAACCACTTGGTTGTGGGCAGTCCTTCTATAAGTCTGGAGTGATAACTTGCATTATCCATTACTATTACACAGTTCTTAGGAAGAAGATCTATCATTTGTTCGAACCATTCTTGAAAGACATCAGCGTTCATGTCTTCATGGTAGTCACCGGTACGAGTTGATTCAAAAGTTAATAAACCACCTTCAACAAAACCGTCTGAACTGCCAATGTGTACTATTATCAGCCTGCGTCCCTTTCCTGATGGTGGGTTTAAACCAGTAGATAAGTTATTTACAAAAGCGTGCCTTTGACTTGTAACAGTTTCATCCTGCCCAAATTTATTTGGTGTATGACCCGGATCCATGTTTCATCAGAAAATTTCATTTTTTGGTTTCTCATTTCCTTATGGTTCTTAGAAAAACTTTCTCCAATGTTGGAAATTCTTGTCTAAAGAAGAATTCATGCACTTTCCGTCGAAGTCCTTCTTTAAAATGATATTCTATTTGAAATTTTGGTTTCCCTGGAGCATTACGTGCATTTGAAAACTACCACATTTCTCTTCTTTAATAACTCTGTAAATCGTAGATTTCCCAACACCAAGTGTACTGCTAACTAACTCAACGGTCTCATCAACACTTTCACATAAACGTTTGTCTGTAAATGATTTAAAACAATTAAATATTAATGTTTTTTCATTAACTGTTAAAGGACCAATTTTCGGCGTTTACACGGCACTTCCAAATTTTCCATAACACTAGTATACACAATAAACTGCACCTTGCAACTGAAGTACCTACTTTTAGTGAACTGTTAAGAATTTTGAATACGCCACTTGGACCTTCCTACAAAATGGAAAAACCCACTATCACATTTTCTGTGGAATAAGTTTAGAAGGTAATTATCTAGTCAATTACTGTCGTAGATTCCTGGAATTAAAGAATTAAATGTTTGATTGTTGAAACCCTTACTTCGTGGAATGCACTCATTTCAGATAAATAAAACGTTTTATTTTATCTAAAGAATTAAACTTTATTTTGCAAATAGGTAGGTACTTATTAAACTTTTATTGGTTATATATAACCAATAAAATAAACATCTTACATTTCTTGCAAATTCATTAGTACCTGTTAACCTCCATCACTCCGACACTGGCAACCTTATTTAGGGATTAGTAACCCTCACAACTATTGTATTCTATTCTGCTCCAACCTTTATACCTGGTGGTCATACTCAATTTAAAATTGTTTTCCTATATACTTCTGTAAACTTGTTGACAAATATCTGTTTTTCATTGAGTCACCCGTATCAACAGTTTAGGGATTTGCATACATAATTTATTGTTTTATTACTCTCTCATACATAAAATACACTATAGTTCCGTCTTACTATAAAATTAAATGTCAATGAAATTGCCTAATATTGTCAATTCTTCTATTGATTTTCTCAACTTTTTCCTCCCATTACAATTGGCAAAATTATCAAAAAAAAAACTTATATACACAAGTGAATACTAATTTGATATCCCTTGTGTCTTTTTATATCAAGCAATTTACGAAGCGTTTTCCGAGGACAGAGCCCTATAAACGATCAGTAAACATCAAGAAATAATGCAAATAGAACTAGAACGCCACGTAATTATGAAAATAACACGTTAGCCACCGAACACATGAAAACATTAAGATCATCTCACTGATAAGTGATTTTTTATTCCTTCGTCACGTTATCTCAGCCAGTTATCATGGTAATATCTGCTACTTTTTATGGATTCTGATATATAGAAGACATCAGTGATGATTAAATAATTATTGATTTTCATTTTGTCGTGTGGAAACACACTAATAATATAAATATCCTACAAGAATTTTTTTTGTCCACTGTTTTTTTTTATCTTCTATTCAAATTCATAGAAATTCGGACTAATAGAGGGTTATATTGTATAACTTAGGAATAGTTTATGATAAATAATTATTATAATCTATGTGGTCATGTAGGTCTGGTCTGATTTATACCT